GAGGTTTCTCCGTCGGGCCGGTCCCACATGAGCGTCCTTGGCCCAGCCACCTCAGCGGGAAGCGATGGCCGCACAGGAGGGTGAGACGTGGTCCCTGTGAGGGCGAAGCCAGAGGAGAGCCCAGCGGGCCTGGCCATGCTCTGTGGGCCCAGATGCAGCTTCATCCCCTGGGCAGCTCTGAGGTGTCTCTGGAACCCTCCCAAGCCCGGCGGTACCCAGGCATGGGGGGAACGTGTGTGCCCCACTCCGCTACCTGCCCCTCCCGACGGCAGCCACAGCCTGGACACCCGTGCCCGAGATGGCAGAGCGCTGCCAGGGCTTGGGACCCCAACAGCCACAGACCAAAAAGCAGTAGCAGGTGCTAAAAACAGAGCCGGAGCAGTGCTTCATTAATAACACCTGGCTGCAGAGATGCTGGGGCTGGAGGTGCCAGACATCTTGGATCCAGTGAAATGCTCAGGGGAGGTTGAATTTGTTGCGTGCTTGTCAGGCAGAGGTACCAAAACGGGCAGTGAGAGGCCTGGGAGCCAGTGGGTTCCCCATGGAGGGGGTGGCAGTGCTGCATGTCCTGCAGTGGCAGCTTTTGGCTGCCTGCAGTCCCCAGCACCCTGTGGCCTGCTTCTGCCCGTGAACGAATCACCTTCATTCCCTCCAGCTCCAGAGCTTTCCTTGGAGCTTGCCCAGATGGGCTCTGGTAAAGGGTGAGATCTTGATGAGGCCATCAGATGCCTTTTGGGCGAAGGCAGCACAAACTGAAGTGGCCAGCACGCTACTCTGCAGCCAGAGGCAGGCTGGGGGAACCTGCTGCAACACTACTATTAAAAAGCAGAGTGCAGGATCTGACCTTCAGGGACTCTCAGCTTTTGTTGCCACCTGCTCGCAGAGCACAGCCACCCTTTTCAGTGCCTTCCTCAGCTGCTGCAGCTGCCCACCTGCTGGCCCCCCTGCATTGCTACTTACCCAGTGCAAAGCTGGAGGTGAGGGACAGTCCCCACTGCCTGCACCCCTTGCCTACGAGGGCAGCTGCACGCAGATGTGGGGCCTTCTGCTGTGCCCCCAATTCCATAGGCACCTGGGGGGATTTGTGTCACCCTCTCTGCAGCGGCAGCAAACCCATGGGAGATGCCTCACTGTGGCAAAGCCTGTCTCAGGCTTGGGGCTTAGACAGCTTGGTGAGGAGTTGGGCAAAGCCAACAACCCCAGTCAGGAGGAAAATCAGCCGAATGGAGGTAGCGGAGGTGGTTCAGCCACTTTTGCGGTGTCCTCTTGGCTGCCTCATCCCTGTTCCAATGCACTGTTGCCCTCTCCATCCAAACTCTGCTGCACTGTGATGGCCAAAGGCGCTGAAGCACAGCTGCCAAGGTGCTGGGTCAGGCAGGGGAGAATTGGATATTAAATTGACTAATGCAACATACTGCAATTTTTTATTGAATCCACATCTGGCATTTTGGAGGTCTCTGAGTTTTGACCATTGCTCTGGAGAAGAGACTGAGAAGAAGCTGGAGAGCTCTTCTGCAGGCACATGGTCTCTGCCCACAGCAGGACCAAGTGAGCCCACGCGGGGAACTTGGGGACACACCAGGTGATAGTGTTTAGTGGCTGGGCACACATTTTGTCACTTGTATATGAGCCAGGCACAGGCGTCAAAGGGATCTGAAGGGAGAGGACAAGAGGGCATAGTCTCAAACTGTGCCAGGGGAAGTTCAGGTTAGAAATGGGGAGGCATTTCTTCACAGAAAGGGTCGTTAGACATTGGAATGGGCTGCCCAGGGATGTGGTGGAGTCACCATCCCTGGAGGTGTTCAAGAAAAGACTGGATGTGGCACTTAGTGCCATGGTCTAGTTGACATGGTGGTGTTAGGGCAAAAGTTGGACTCAATGATCCCAGAGGTGTCTTCCAACCAAACTGATTCTGTGATTCTCTGAGATGCCAGAGGTCAAAATACGGAGTCAGTGTCAGAGCAGCAAGTGGGCTTGAGACAGTGGCAGTCAGGAAATGCTGCGACTGGTGACGTGTTTGTGCTCCTGAGTCCGTGCCCAGTGGGGGGTGAAAGGCCCAGCTGCTGAGCTGTGGCTGCCAGAGGCCACCACCTGCCTTCACCAGGATTCCCACCAGTGCTCAGCTTGGCTGGCTGCCACAGCAGCCCACTCCTGTCCAAGGGGGACAAGCCGGATGGTAGAAACTGCTTTCCTGGCACCCCATTCCTGCAGGCACGGTTAGGCAAGCAGCCCAGCCTCTCCCCACAGTGCGTGGGCATCCTGGACAGGGCAGAGCCCCACGAACTCCAGCCAGGCTCTGGGGCCCCTCCTGTTTTGTGGCCACAAGCGCAGCCGGACCAGGCAGCTGCTCCAGAGGCTTCATCCCTGCCTTAGCCGAGAAGAGAGCATCTGTAGGACTGTGAACCTTTCCCAGCCCGGTGGGGCAGAGCAAGCCAGCCCATGGATCCAGCCAGCTTCCCACTCCCTACCTCTCCAAAATATGTTTCCCATCTCTTGGCCTGTTAAATCACAACCTGTGGGCAGCCCAGCCTGCACTGCTGGCCCGCAAAGTAGCGAAGAGGACTGGAACACATCCTTGCAGGGAAGGAGTAGCGCAGAGGGCAGCTAAGCTCCAGGCCGAAGTTCCAGCTGTCTGCAGAAAAGCCCTCCAGCAGAGATATTCCCAGTGCCCACCAGGATGGCACGGAGCCCTGAGCATGCAGAGCTGCCCACCGCGAAAGGCAGAAAGGTTGCAGGGCTGGAGCAGAGAGCAGCTCCATGAAGGGGAACAGCAGCAGCACAGCAAGGCAGGGACACAGCCAGGTGACCTGGAGCAGAAAGGCCTCCTACACAGCAGCTGAAGGCATTATTTGCTTAATCGACATTGAAAAAGGCCAAAGTTTGGAGTTTGTAAACTGGCACTCCCACAGAGTTAAGGTTCAGGTTTGCACAAAGCAGAGGCAGTGACTTGTTTCCCTGGCTCTAGAACTCCGGCCACTGCAGCTGCTGGGGATTTTACTCTCCAGATGATAACACACAAGGGTGCGCATTGTCACCCACCCACTTCCCATCTGCCGTAGCCATGTACTTTAGCCCTTATATCTCAGGAAGCACTGGAAAGCCAAAGTATTGCTGCGTTCCCCCTTCCCACACCCCAGGCTTTGCTACCGCAAAATTAGCAGCTGTGCAAGGGGGGTGAACCTACGCACTCACTTCCTAAGCAACCCCTCCCCCAGTGAACATAAAGCTTATTTGATACTTTACCAGAGCAAAATTTTGGCTAAATCAGGCCAAAAAGCTTTTCAGACTACTCACTGCCCAGCCTTAGTGCCCATTGTAAGAGCAGGAGTGGAAAGCAGTAGTTAGCACTCCCCTTTGAAAACCGAAGTTTGACATCTGCTGAAGGGAAAGGGGCTTGAGGAAAGCAGGTTTCCTGCAAGGGGGAAGCCCTTTCTCTCTGCTTCAAGGCTCTCCACTAGACTCAGCATCTCACCCTCATCTCAGCTCTTCCTGGGGAAGATCAAGGAAGAGAAAAGAAGTGGTTTGGGAGTTATTTTTACTGGAACCAGTGCTGAAGCACCATCTGAAATGATGCTCACTGGAATAACCCCAGCTCTAGGAGCCTGCAGCCACCCCAGGAACTGCTGGGATCCCCTGCAAGGGAGGTGTAAGGCCACCTCTTGATTTTTTTAGCCAAATGCTGGCTTAAAACCAGAAATCAGTCCCATTTGGATTGATCAGCAGCCAGAGTGGCTTCAGTCATACCAGAGGCAGCTTTGCTTAATGAGCGGACTCCCAAACATCAGATCCCTTCCACAGCATCAGCTGGTAAAGATGCAAATCTCCAAAGAAACACAGATGGGGCTGGCCTGGCTGCAGGCTCCTGCAGGATGGATCCTCCCTCCGCGCTGCTCTGCTGCACCCCAAGGATGGCACAAGCTGATCCAGCACCCCCCGCCATGCACTCAGCACCTCTGCTGCTGTTTGCAATACCCCACTGGCAAGGGCCTATTGCTACGTGCAGTCTTCATTAAATTAACAACCCAACTGTTTGTAACAAAGTGTTATTTATTAGACTATTACATTGCACTTAAAAAATAAGGGAGGTCTGACCCTGTTATCTTGACCTACATGAAGGATGCAGGGCCAGACCTACAATAAATATAAATACTATGTACAGTTTATCTAAAATAAATATATAATTTAAAATGAAAAATATCTTGTTAAATAGCTGTTACCGTCCCACCCCTCCTGCGCCTAAGAAAGCCCCGAGGCCAATCTCCTTGCCTTTCACAGTTTGTTCCTTGCCATGCACCGCAGTGGACGGAGAGCTGCTGGAGAGCCCCTCTGCCGCTGGCTGGCCAG